TATTAATTTATTATAATTTTACAGAAGACTATGAAAGACTGTCTAGCAAAGTACATTTCTTTTGTAGGCCATACCATACATTGTTCGTTTGTATTAATGCCTAACTATGTATTTACACTGCAGACTGTAAACAAATGTGAAGTAGGCCCTACCTGTCAGCTGTTTTAAAGTATAGACCATCCTAATAACTCCAACACGAGTCAATAACCCAGCTACGGCAAAGCGCGTGTCCCGGTAAAGAGCGACAATCTGCGTCATGTGACGGCGGACGGACGGAGAGATGAAGATGGCGCAGCACCGGCGCTGAAGAGTCTCCCCGTTCACCGCGTAAAATCACGGAAAATTGCATCGATCAAGCGCGAAAGAGCGCCACGCGCGCGCGTGACTCGAGAAACGCTCAAGGTTAGCTCATCCTCGCGCTGTTCCAGCGGTAAATCTCGACTGACCGAGTCAATGAAATAAATAAATGATCGTCTCCATCCTCAGATGTTGCTGCCGCCGCATCCATAACGGGAGATCCAGACGCACGGATGGGAAACCTCAGCTGACGCGTGAAACATGTCGATTGTTTTATCAAGCATACGGCTGTGAGATAAACACGTCTGACGGTCTGCTTCAACTTTAATGTGTCATCGTACATGACATTTAACCGAAACTCTTCTAATATCTTGGTTATTTTACCGGGATCATGTGGACACCGACCGAGGACGAGAAAATCGGAGTGGGTGAGTTGAAAATCTGTTTATTTGGCATCCTTGATATAAATAGGCTATACAAATTAAGCTAAACTAAACTAATTCCAGGTATGTTTTATGTGGCTTATAAATCATTTGAAAGCGGCAAAGAACATATAAAACTAGATGCCGTATTAATACGCAGTGTTGAATGTTTTATATGTTAATGCTGAGGAGAAATTCATAACCCGTTTTATGAATTTAACACTATTACCAGGCTGTTACTATAAAACGTATTGAATTCATCATGTAAATCGTTCTGCACGACTGTTGAATACTAACGTGATGTTACAGTAGTACACACTGCTGATGTTGAGGATGCTATACTCGACCGACAGGGGGCGATGCGAGCGGTGCGTTTCCAACAGGTGCATAGTGGAAAACATCTAATATTGAGCTCCAACACTCCTCATCCACACCAAAATCATCTTCTGAGAGAACACAAGCTTCTAAAACAAATGCACTGCGTCTTCACTGATCGAATGCACTGTCAGCATGTTGCAGTGGAAAAAAAATTTTTTTTTTACAATTTGTATAGCAATTAAAATAAGCATTTTAGAGAACAATTGCATATTTCTTATATTTGGTTATTATGAAAGTGTAATTTAAAAGATGATGTTTCATATAAGAAATATATAAGCTGACACTGATTTGCATGACCTTTTTTTATAATTTTACATTTATTAAACAATATGTAATTATGAAACTAGTTAGTGTTAACTAGCTAAACTTAGTTTTTGGTTAAATATTTGATAATTGTAATGTCAGAAAAAAAAAAAATATTTTGACATTTTGCATTCAAAGTTAAGTTAATTGACCACTAACTCGCATTTTATGACCAAGCCATGATCATAAATCTTTTTTTTCTCAAAAAGTTAAACATTTAATTTCATTTCATTCATACATCACACACAATATCAAAAAATCCTTACTGCACAACGCTATTGTATATATACACTAAAGCTATATAAAAAAAACCCCATCTAAAATCTATTAAAAATGTAAATTAAAAATATGGGCTTTAGTTGAATAAAATCGACTAAAATTGCTAAATCTAAAACTGAAATAAAAATAAATGAAATGTGAATGAACAATTATTAAGAAAACAAAAAATTCTGAAATGTAAACTTAAAGGCACAATATGTACGATTTATTTATTAAAATATCCAAAAACCACTAGAACAGTGTTATATATTTTGCTGACTTGTGTACTTACATTATCCCAAATGTTTCGAAGAATGTTTAAAT